TCAGCGGCTCAGAGCGGACCCCTCGCAGCGAGGAGAATCGCAGCTCCGCCCCGGCCCATTCAGCGGGCCGCGGGCGCCCGGTTCCCACCGGCACAAAGCGCACAGGGCCCCGCCCCGCCGCCGAGGGGCCCCAGCCCACCCCACGGGGACCCTCCCGGCCTCCGCCGACCCCCACCCCCGCAGCACGCGGCGCGCCCCGCCCGGCCTCCCTTCTCAGAAGTCCCACCCGAGCGACCCCGCCTCGCAGGGTCCCCGCCCCAAGCAGGTCCTGGGGAGGACCCGGGCGCCTCTCGTGGGACGGGCCCGCTTCTGCTCGGCGGAGACCCGCGGCCCGCCCTCCGGGGAGCCCACGCAGAGCCCCGCGCCTGTTTATTAGTCCATAAATGAAGTCATGGCTCCGCTGGGACTTGCATGTGGCAGGTCCCCAGTCAGTTTCTCTGCCCCTGCGCCTGTAACCCGGGGTCCCGGCCCTCGAGGGGCAGCCTGGGGGCAGGGTCAGAGATCTTCGCGCCTCCTCCCGCCAGCTGCTAATTCAGAATAAAGACGGTGCGAACCTGCGACGTGGGAATAAAGAGGCCGCAAAGGCTCCGATTTCTCCCACGATGTCTTTGAGCCACAAATCCCAACTTTCCATAAAACACTTCCCATCTGGGGCTGCCCCTGCCCTGCCCGTGTGTTAAACCCGTCCTGGTCCGACCGCGGGGAGAAGGATCCACGGTGCCTCGGCGGCCCGGCTCCCGCGCCCCACCCAGCAGGCTCTCCGGAGCGAGGGCAGGGGTCCCGGGGTCCCGGGGTCCCGGGTTCCCCTCGCGTCTCAGCTCCCCGCGGCGAGGCCGGGACGAAACCCTCCGCTGGCCGCCAGGTGGCGGCCGTGCACCGCGGACCCAAAGGTGTGGCCTCCGAATTCCAGCGTGGGGACCCCCAGGAGGGACTGGGGCCCAGGTCCGGTGTTCCCCAGGCCCTGTCCCAACTGTCCTGCCCTGCTCGCTCTCCTGAATCAAGCTCACAGTGGCCGACGCCGTCTTGGGAGCAGTGGTTGCCACCCGCGCTAATAGGGTCTTTCCTCCAACTGGTGGGCTTTGGTGCCCACCCTACCGCTTCATCCTATTGCCGCTCCAGGTCCGTCTCACTCGCTGGGTGACCTCGGAGCACCTTCCTGAAGAAGGGGCTCAAATCCAAATAATGGCGCACTAGAGGAGGAATTCAGGTTCCACAGTGAGAGACGTTTGAGGGCAGCTGGCCAGCACAGCTGTTAGGTTCTAGAAGGGTGTTTCCATGAAACCAGCTGCCGAATGCTAGGTGAAAATCATAAGGAAGTTTTATTGGGTCCTGTACAGAAGAGAAATGCTCAGTTGTCAAAAAACTACAAACGGATCCCTGGCTCTGGGCTGAGTGGTGGGAAGACGACAGCTCCCTCCCCAGGAAGCCCATGGTCAAGCTCCTTATAAACGCAGCACACAGGCCTGCAGGCTGGACAGTGCGGGAGAGAATCCCAGGCCCCAGGGTCCTCCGCTTGGGGTCCTCCCTTTTATTTTTACTTTTTGGTGGCTGGCCAGTACGGGGACCTGACACCTTGACTCCTCCCCTTTATGTTTGTAAAAACCAGGACTGAAGGGACTTCACAGGGGTCTACATCCCCCTGCAAGTACTGCTGTTGGATATGAAATAAACAGTGAAAACCCAAGGTGACAAGGTGAGGGGGAGACAGTGGCTACCTGGTGACCTCTGCCCCCATGTGACATGACGGTGCTTGAAGGCACAGCAGTATTGGCCAGAGGTGGCCCCTCCCATGGCCCAGGCTGGACTGCAGTCCCCTGCCTTGCTTACCTGTGGTCAGCTCATCCTCCAGTTTCCCCACAGCTGGGGATTGGAGGGACCCTCTAAAGCCATAACAGAGTTGGACAGCACCCCCCACACCCTCTTCTGGGATTGGGACACTGTCTGCAGGGTGATATAGACTTGGCCATCTGAGGGGCAGAGGGAACAGGGCACAGGCTGGCTCTGTGCTGGCCTTGGAACCTGCTCCAGGTTTTCACATTGAGGGGCCACTGCATGGAGGCAGGGGCCAGTTGGAGACAGCATCTGCAGTTGCCCTGTTCCTCCAGCCCAAGGTCAGGAAGACCCAAGGCCCATGGCAAAGCCAGGCCTGCAAGGGGTCTGCACAGGAGGGAGAGCAAAGGAAGGCCCTGCCCCTAGAGGGGAGGACCGTCACCAGGGGCCAGGCCTTGACCCCAGAACCTGGGAAGCCTCTAAGCCAGGATCCCTTTTTGACCAGGCCTGCATAGGTTGGGGGTGAGGCTAGGGATGGGTACTGGGATAAGGAAGCCTACTCCTCCTTTGCTTTAATCGTCTACACCATGTACCCACAACCTCTACAGTGGGAGTCGTAGAGGTGGCCAATGTGGCAGGACAGGCAACGATGGTGCAGTAATGAGGGTGGGGACACTGATGGTGGTCAAGGTGGCTGTGATGCAAATAGTGATGGTGCAAAAGTGCTGTGCTTCGCTGGGGTGGAGGGTGCATTCCCAAGGGGGCAAGGGGCACCAAGAGTGGGAGGCCCTAGGCCTGGGGGGACCCCACCAGGCCACATGCTGGAGACTGACCCCACAAAGGACCCACAGAGGGCCCTAGACACCTCTCACACACGGCCCACTCAATGGCCAGGGCATACGGACCAGGAGACTTCTTCAAACAGCCCTGAGAATTAACATGGTCGGTCACCTGCTCATCACAGATAGGGAAGCTGAGGCAGAACAGGTGAGAAGCAGGGACACCTGCTGGGAGAGCTTGTTTGGGTCCTAAAGACCCCTGTGCTTAGAGACCCTCTGCACCCCAACCCCCTGAGGTGGCAGTTGCAGTGCAGAGTGGGAAGCCGTGTGCGATCCAGTGGCTTCTGGCTCCCGCTCCTCAGAGGCAGGAATTTGTTGTCTGATGGTGACTCTGTCCCAGGGTTCCCTGCACCCCCAGCCCAGCTGCTCAGGGCTGGGGAAGGTGCAGCCGGACGTGCGGACGTCACTCACTACCCAAGCCCAGAGGCTGGGCTGGTCCAGGACAGTCATTCCCCGTCCCAAGGCAATGCCGACAGGGAGGAACCGGTACACAGAGGCGCTGAGCTCGCCGCCCCCCATTCCCGGGAGGGGTGACACGTGTCTGCGTGCGGGACAGCGGTGGCATCTTTGGTGCTGTGGCCCTCGCGGGCGGCCCGGCCTGTCTGGCGTCTGTGGGCCCTAGGACGCCGAGCCCAGTGAGTCCGAGTGCAGCGTGACGTAGCCCGAGGATTCGGAGGGCGAGCTCAGGAAGCTGCTGGTGCTGCCGCCGCCGCCGCCCGCCGCGCGCAGACCCCCGGGCTCGCCCCATGACCCGCTCAGGCCGG